TATATACATATATATAATATATTGCCTATAAAGGTGGATAAAAGTGCAGCAGGAGGTAATGACACCAATCATTTATCAACTGTTCTGGCTCCTAATTGCTAAAGATCAATACTGTATTATGATTTAATGCTATGCTATATTTAAAACTATGTTACAGAATTTACATGTACAAGGGGGCAGGGCCATGATGCTGCCCCTACGTGTGCTGCTCTCTGTCAGTGACTCAGTGCAGTGATGAAACGCGGGCTTAAACAGAAATCTGAATAATGAGGGTGATGATGAAACAAGCAGAATAAAGTTGGAAGGACACACCTTCAGGCTGAGTCAGTGCTTCTGGAAACGCTGTCTGCAGAAAAACTGATGTCTAACCTTCTGAGAACAGAGCGATTCCTTAGAACCCTCTTTGATTCATGGTGGATGGAGGATAAATATCTGCAGCATGAAGGCTGCACACCAGAACCTCCACAGGACACCATCAGAGACCTCACTGAAGACCAGAGCATCACCAGTGAGTCTTACCTCCTCCTCCTCCTCTTTCTTCTTCTCCTCCTGCTGCTGCTGCAGAAAAATTCTTTGTTTTAATATTATATATTATATTCATTAGGGATGCACAATATGGCCGATATGATAAGTGATCACTTTGCATTTTTGTATTTTAAAAAAGGGGTTTTGTGTGTTACTTGTAGTTTATTCACACATGATGGTGAGAAAACATGGATTATTTAATATTAATGTTATATAATAATATAATAATAATAATATGCAAACTTTGGCTTTCATGCAACATTAAGTTTTGTTTTGCATAGAGTCCATATAAATTATTTTATTTATTATCAACTGACAATTCATAATAATAATATATCTTTCATCATTATCGGCTGATTATTCATCCCTAATATTGATTGATTTATTAATTAAGTTCAGTTTTAAAAGAGTTGATGTTTTACAGTTTAATCTGTTCCAATATTTGAATATTTTCCTGTCAGCAAATTGCACATTGATTCCTGGCAGTGAGGGGACGCCTTTAGGGAAATAATTTACACTTTAATGACACAAACAGATCAATAAATGTAATATAAACAAATAATAAATGAGATGAATAATAAGATAAAGAGAGAAAAGGTTTGTAATTCCTTGAAAATCCTGATGATGTTTGGTTTGTTGATTTTAGTTTGAAATCAACCCTCTTCCTTTTGCAGTGCATTGTGGGTACCTGTTCTACCTGTTTGTGGCGTTGTGGGTGGAGCTTGCAGTAGGTATGACCATTCCACCAATCAAACTAAACACTGACGGGCAGAGCATCATCGAGGACCTGAAGCGTGAGCTGGACAAGTACGAGACAGTCCTCAACATGGCGGTGAGACACTCCACCAAACTCCATTCAAAAAACATGTATTTTTACAGACAGTTTCCCTCTGAGTGCTGTTTTAATAAAACATATCTGTGACTTTGTTTTCGGTGTAGGACGCCATGACGGAAGCACCTGTCTGCTCAACGACTGCTGCTCAATCGGATCCGGTACATACTACACATGTGCACCGTCTGATCTGGTTAAAGTGCTGCCCCCTACAGGCTGCACTGCTC